CAACTCATTTCTTCACATTTCCTTCTTCTTCTTCGACAAAAACTGAGAGTGAGAGGGAGAGAATCCATTTTCAAGCAAAAACCCTAACTTCATTGATTCTCCACCAAACCAAACCATTCCAAAGCCAACATTGCTTCAAATCTTTCCCTCTTTGTGAATCCAAGCTTTGTTTTGAATGGGAATCTTTATGGAGAGAGATATCTTCTTCCCAAGAATTCGACCCACTTGATGATTTGAGGAGTTTAATGGCATTTTCTTCCATGGGAGCTTAGGAGACCATCATTCCTTGGTTGTGTGATCTTTTGGGGTAAGTTTTTACTTCTCAAACCTTGTTTCCATGGAGATTGCAATAGGTTGAAGATGATGAATAGTGATTTTGTGGGTTTTATGAGTTTGAGTTAGATTGAAGTTAAATCCCTTTGGAAAAGTTGCTTAAAATGATGAATAAATGGTAGAAATGAACTTAAATAGTCATTTGATTATACTATGAAAATTGCAAGAATATATGCTTGGTTGTGGATTTTCATGCATTTGTAAGCAATGGTTTGATTGGATATTGATTGTGTCCATGTGATGGCTAGGATTGAGGCAATTTAACCATCCTTGAGTGGCCAACCATTGGAGGAAGCCATGGAGTTTGATTAACTTACTTGAATTGGTGAGTTTAGGCCTAGTGTATGGCAATTGGTTTTTTGTGGTGGATGAACATGTTGATATTCATTGGTTGTATTTATGGATGACATGATACCTTAATGTAGGTATTAATTTGTGAAGCTTGGTTGATTACTCATTGGTGGTGAACAAAGGTTAAGCTTTGAAGTTCATTGAGGTAAGCCTTCGGACCTTGGGAATTGATCCCTTTATTATTCCACCAAGCCCGGAATAGGTAGTGGTTGTTGATAGTGTATGTAAATGCAATAAAATAGTTTAATGCTTTGTTATACGTATGTGTATGCATTGAGTGTGGAATATGATGGTGTTTTCCTATGTTTTGTATGTTGCATGATGATGCGTAATTCATACTTGGTAGTTTAGCTGACCAGTAGGACTATTTTGCATCTGAATATCTTTAGGACATCATGAGAGCTCGAGGGATGTCTCCTTTAGATGTTTTTACACACTGCATAGATATGTATTTACTGCATTATTTACTAATTATTGCTATTATATTATGAGTGAACTATGGGGTGGATAAATGCTCCAAGGACCCCTGGTTTACTGAGGTATATTCGTATACCTCACCTCGTGTTGTGGGGACCCCCTTTCAGATACAGATGCTGCAAGAGCCTCTGGTGGCAAGTGACCATACTTGGACTAGATTGATACATGAGTATGTTGCATTATTTTGGTTATGCATGTCATTTAGTAGTTTCCATGTATAGGATTCACATTTGAAAGCTATTTGATATATGCACATCATGCTTTTTTTCGGTTGACTTAGCCTATGCTCACTTCCTTTGGTGCCTCTTTTGTTGATGGAAGCTAAGGATTTGATCATAGTGTTTTGTAGCTAAATCCTATGGTTATGTATTAAAGACACTTGGATATTGTGTAATATTGTACTTATTGTATATATGATGGAAGGGCATGGATTCCTATTTTGATAAATGTGTGTCTTGAAATAGCTAAGAATCATGTATTGAAGTGGTTGTATAATGTCTATTAGGTGAACGAAAATCTTTGGGGTTGAGAATCAATGTAAATATAAGAATATCATGTCTTGTTGTCCATTTTTCATATCCTATATGATAGATTTGGACCCTTGTATCTTAATGGAAGTTGTAGATCTTTTTCTTAACTTTCCAACGAAACCAAGATTGCGTTAATCGGATAAGTATAACTCAAGTTATGGGTAAAATACTAAGGTTGGGTGAAATCTCCAGACCTGTGGCGCTATTAGCACCGTGGTGGCGCTATACAGGGGAAAAATGCATTCTTGGCGCTGCGCACTCCAGGTTGGCGCTGTCATGCCATAAATCTGAAAAAAATTTGCCTCGTAATGCTATTCGCGCCGGGCCCTATGAGTTCAGCAGCCTTTTCTTATAAAATTCATAACTTGAGCTACGGCGCTCCAAATTGAGCGCAGTTTGAACCTAAGTGTAGCTAATGAAGAGATATATAACATATTGGGAGATGAGGACCATAAAAATAGTATAAAATTCCTTAAGTAAATAAAAAGTGGAGATGTTTAGTGTTGAATAACAATACAAATGAGTTTTTAAGCCTTGTTGGTCTAAGGGGACTACTTGGCACACTGGGGTAGCAACGTACGATCTAAATAAAATTACATTAAGTGTTTCACACATCGTTTAAGTTATGATTACATTTATTGGAATTGTTTTAATTACGGAATTGATTTTGAACAGAAACGTTTATAAAAAAAAGAAAAGTTTATCCGTACTTTAATTCAATTGTTGTGATTGTAACTAGCTTAATGTCATGCGTAATGATAACAAACCGGTTCTAGAATGGGGTGTTACACCAAGTATCAGTCTCCTTCTCTGTAATTTTATTTTTCGTCTCAGGGCGTTGTCCCTCCTTATTTACAAAAAATAAAAAATAAAGAAGTAAATACATCTATTTATTGGTTATTTTATATCAAATTCATGTTTGTCTTTTTTAAAAAAACTTTAATTTCTATTCAATTCCTTATAAGCAGGAGTGTTTTTAAAATTTAAATGAAATTAGATATCATATTAAACTAATCAGCAAATAATTATATTAAAATTTCAAAAAAAAAAAAGATAGTGCACTAAATACTAAGGTAATAAAAAAACTAAATTACTCTAAAGTACGAAGAGACTCAAATTTAATAAAAGGCAGTGCTACGAAATGATTGAGTGCTAGACCCTCGAGCTCGTGCTTGATGCTCAATCAATAAGAAAGAGGCAACAAATGACAAAGAAAAGTTGCTAGAGTTAATTCCTTCTGTTGTATGTATGGATGAATTTATATCAGTGTAAATTTAAAAAGTTTTATATCAATCATTAAGGGTTGATTTTTTTTTAAGTTAATCTAGATAACTTTATTTAATGTTCATCGAAATAATATTATTTTAGGACGAAAATCATGATGTATTTGTAATTTTAATTTATTTTAGGGTTATAATGATTTTTATCATTCTAATTTTTTAACTTTACAATCCAAAACGACATTGTTTTGCTAAACATTAGACAAATTTATCTAAAATAACATTAAATATTTTTTCCCATCATTAAGTACAAATGGGATCAAAGGTATGAAATTTATACGAGTGTAAATTAATTCCTTAGGAAAAATTTATACAAAAGACTAGCTTATAATTAAGTGGGATGCAGATAGTCTTATGGACTAAAGTATCACATTGACGATGTGAGACATGGCATTATTATCTTCTTTTTTAAATAATTAAAAAAAACAACCAGTTCACCCCATGAACATTGATCCGATAGTAGCCCTATTTTCTTTGAGAGCTTCATTCATCAATCAATATGTCAGCTAGAGCTTAACCTAAATCCAACTTATACGTATTCCTTCCCCTATCTCAACTCTCAATGAAATTATTAATTGTTACAACTTAAACCTATAGGAAGAGCTTAACCTAAAGAACTAGCTATTAAGTGGGAGAGTCTCTTGGTTTAAGTATTACAATGAGTTTTTTTTTTTTTTTTTGACATAACAAGTAAGTCCCTTTATAATAACATTTTTTTTCCTCTACAATAAAATGGTTTTGTTACTAGAGAGGAGCATATTCTATATTTCAAGTAGTTTTGATCAGCGTTGCTTGCTCTTACTCTTTATTTGGTTCTGGGTTAAAAGCTTACTTAAACAACGTTGCTTGCTCTTATTCATGTCCTTAACCAGTTATGACCAATATCTTGTCATGTATCTCACTAAAATATAAATACAATAATTTTTTTCTATATTATAGATTATTGTAATTCTAAAAAAATAATTATCATAATCATTATAATAAATCATTAGTAAATGAATTATTTTTTTACCTCAGTTATACTTATATGTATAATAAATCACAATCACACATGTTTATCGAAAAAAAAAAATCACAATCATACACAATGCACGACGCACACTGGCATGAAGAATTTAGACTAAACTATCAATTTTGAACTAATCCTCTAAAAATTTTGAAGACTTATTTAATATCACAAATATTTAAGAGCATGTTATTAAAAATTTAGATTAGAGGAAAACGCAAACCATGTCAGATTATGGAAAGATCATCGACCTCATTAAGGGTTGTTGTAATAAATATTTAAGATCAAATCATGTCAAACGAATTTTTAGATGAAAATATTGATAGTTTGCTCAATAATTTATTTGATGTGTAAATACATATGCCCAGAATTAAAAAAGTTTGTTGAAGGCACTTTTCATTACTTTATGCATTGCCATTAGTATCATCTGCTGCCTCTTTCTTATTAATTGAAGTTTAAGTAGTTATATATAGGCTCTTGCGTTCAGCCATTCAATCGTTACGTAACATTGCCCTTTAATTAGATGGGGACAACTTCTGCCATTTTCATCAAGACAACGTAAGTTAACAACATACATTTACATACACACAAATGGTTGTAGATTTTCTTATTTAGAGCTACTAGTTTGAGCTTTTTTTATCAAATAAAACACGTTTTCAACTTAATTTTTATAAGATAATTGGATAAATTTAAAAGGAAAAACTAAAAAAATTATATTAATACTTTTTTATAAACTAAAAAGAATACCTTCTAAAATAATTATAAAAACGTTTTTCCTATTTCTACATTTATCCCAACACAATCCTAGTGAAAAGGGTAGAATTATAGAATCGAAAATCTTCATAACCTAATGCGAGAGGTAATAAACCAAAAAAGAGAGATAGTATAGCTACTAGTCTTTACTCATTTCCGTTATCCCACCAACCGATACTAAAATTGAGTATTTGAGTACGTAAGTTGCGTCAACAACATTGAACATTACGGGAATATGAACAGGCCAACAATTCTTTGAAAGCAAGAAAATCTTACAAAAACAAAATATCTCATAATATAGGGTGGGATACCAAGCAAGCTTTAAAACATCTCCTGGATGACATTGTGATAGTGTTCAAGTATACTACTTGAATAAACAATAGTTCTAATTAATACTTAATATAACCTATTAAACTTTAAAGGTGAGGGAACCAATTAAATCCTAAAGAAAAATCAACCTTAAGCTTCTTCTCAAAGAACTTTCTACAGGCGGCAAGAAATATAACTAAATGGATGATGAGGGGGTTTTCTTGGGGATAAAGGAGACGAACAAGTTAACAGAACAAAAGGACAAAAAAAGAGAGAGAGAAAACTATTAACAATCTGAAACAGACTAGATAAACATCTACAAGCAGGGAGTAAATAATATTTACATAAGGCTACACTATGATCCAAACAAGGCACACTGCTTTCTAGCATGAGATGGAATCAGTTTCACCAGCATCTCAGCAGGCACTCCTTTTAGCTCTGTGTGGAATCAGCAGCAACACCAGCATTATACGAGCAATTCAATACAAGGATATAATAACATAATATTCACCAGAAAATTAGTTCTTACCATTGGCTTTGAAGTTGAATAGTGGAGGAAGGAAACGCCCATTTGGTAAGCGGGTATTTGGATCACGCAGTTCATCGAAGAATGGATGAATCAGGGCCTCCAACTATATTTCACAAGACACAGATAATATAGCTTAATATAATGTTCAATTGGAAATAATTATAGAAATAGTTTAGATAAAAATTCAGTCTGGAAAGAGAAGGAAATTTCCAGGCCATACTACGTGTGTATGGGATACATATTATGAAGGCATGTTAAGGAAAAAACTACCAAGAAGGAAATTGTTTAGTTTAAGGACAAAATGGGGGGGAAAACGATAAAAATCACATGCACTTTGTAATAACACAAACTAAGAAGTCCATCACATATCACTGACAGATTATACCATGAACAGCTGCCATAAAATGAAAAAGATGTAACTTGACAGTCTAAGGTATTAAACAAGATTTAAACTGTCTTTAAAGCTTCCAAATATCTTGATAATATTATAAACTCACAGCTGTGCTTCGAAGATTTGGAGAGTATTGCAGTAGTCTTGAGACAAGGTCCACAGCTTCAGGGGGCATACGCTTTTGAAAGATCTGATGATGAAGGTTCTCATATATGAACATCACTATGGAATAATATGCATAAATGTACAGGTAAAATTACAACACCTTGTTATCAAAAAAAAAAATAAATTACAATACCTTGTGCCATGGATGAGCTTTGATTTGTGGAAATTTGAACTCAGTGTAGTTGGGATTCATGCACTTGATTTCTTCCCTTGTTGGGGTACCTAAAACCTGCAGGTGAATCCCAAAAATCTTAAGAAATAATGAAAGATAACAATATAACATGGCACTGAACAAGTTAAAGTGAAAGAATAAAACAAAGGGACTATTAGTATGGATATGAACAAGCTAGTTACAAGTAAACACAATTACTATACATTCAACTGGTGATTATTCAAAGTAATGACCATCATGCAAAAACAGAAAACGGCAGTTTACAAAAAACCTGGATTTTACAGAGTAAAAATTAATCTTTAGAGCTTATCTTACCTTGATAATTTCAACAAGCTGATCTACTCCACTCTCACCAGGAAAGAGAGGCTGACAACAACAGGAATTTATTATTAGTTTCTGTACAGATATGCATTATAAATGTACCAGAATAAAAAATACTTAAAAGCTAGCTACCTGGCCAAGCAATAGCTCTCCAAGTACACAACCAGCTGACCAAATGTCAATGGCTGGGGTGTACTCAGTTGCACCAAATATAAGTTCAGGAGCCCTATAGTACCTAGAACAAATGTAAGATATGTTTGGCTCCCCTTTGACCTGTCAAATATAAGCAAAATTTATTCATGATAATACATCAGTTAAACAATGAAAACAGATAATAGGATTTCCAGGTTGAGAATAAACAAACCAAGACTTTTGCACTCCCAAAGTCACAAATCTTCAGCTGGTGGGTGTGAGGATTGACCTGTTATCGGATAACATCCAAAACAGATGTACATGGACTACTCAATCAGATAAGAAAGTAAATTGGTCTTACAAAAGAAGAAAAATTAAATACAGAAGCAAACTTGAACAATTCCATACACTGATTTAAGTTGCACAATGCAGATCAACACAAAAAGAAAAAGAAATCAAGAAAACAAGTTTACATGTGAAGTTGTGAACATACCAGCAAATTTTGAGGTTTTATGTCCCTGTGAGACACTCCAATACAGTTGTGAATATAAGCTAGTGCTCTACATATCTACAAAATAAGAAATAGAAGTAATGAGAACCAACAAAGTGATATAATAATAGAACTGGGTCAGAATATAGGAAATAAAATAGAATATTATTAATAGAATCCCCTCTACCTGTTAACCTGTATCAATTGGAAACGAGCTCAGAGATGAAGAGATGAAACTACAAGCAATGATTTTAACAGAGAATTTCTCCCTTACACTTACACACAACATATTTGAGAGTCCTGTCTCTCCCTCCCTTTCTCTCTTCTCAAATCACAACTGACTCCAACTAACTCTCCCAATCCCCTTTTATTTCCGTTATATGTGTGTGTCCCTTAACTGCCTGCTAGAGAGTTACGTACTATTATTATTTGGCAACAGTCTTGGGTCCTAAACCTCTACATTCCCATCAATTCATCCTAACATAGACCCTTTTAATTGGTGGCTTGCTAACATATACACAGTGTGGCTTTCATAATATCGCTTTAAAACTTACATGAAAACTAAATTTTGATATAGTACATAGAAATATACCTGGTAAAAATAAAGTTTCACATAGATCAATGGCATCCTTTGATTCATTTTGTTGTAGTGTCTGATCACCCGATGGACAGTCTCAGGAACATACTCAAGTACCAAGTTAAGATAAAGCTCATCTTTTTCAGTTGTTGAAAAGAAACAATGCTTCAAAGTTACAACATTGGGGTGGTCCAGAAGACGCATGGTTTGCAATTCCCGGTTCTTGTACCTCTTGTCTTGAAGAACCTTCTTTATAGCCACAGTTTCACCTGTCTCCAAGCACTTTGCCTACACAATAAAGGCAAAAGGAAAAAAATAACATCAGTTTACTGCAAAGCTTCACTACTATCCAATTAAAAGCTGCAAATACAAGGGACTAACCTGGAAAACAACACCAAAAGATCCATGTCCAACAACACGCTCAGCCATGTAGCTTGTTGTCTACAATCATGAAGGCAACATAAAAAAACATGCAAATGCAGACAGACAATTTGTCCAAGTAACAGAAGAGATATCAGAAACAGACCTGCTTTGGCTGGCCATTTTTACCACCAATGGTAGTGACAATTATATGTCCTGCTTCAGTCCCATTTCCGTCTACCACAGTTTCTTCCATTTCCTGCATTTTGTTCAACAAGTACAAGTATACTAAATATTTACCAGGAAGTTACTCAAGAGGGTGATGCAAAGAGTAATGCAGACAGAGGAAAATAAAATAGCCATTTATCTTTACCCTATCATCCCTAATTTTCATGCTGTTCATCTCATCAGGCAACCTATCAACTGCAACTGAACTTGCATTTACGTCTCTTAATCCAGAAGCAGGTGCTACACCCGCTGATGCCATCACCTCAGGCACAAAAAAAAGATCGGGAAGATTTCCTTGCAGCTTCAATTAAACTACCTCAAAGAACAGGTCACACAGACCGTTGTCTAGAAGAAAACAGAACTCTAACAAGCAAACTATATATTCAACAACAATTTTGGCATCAAAATCTGCACACAGAATCAAGCATTCACCTACAAAGATAAAAAATTGTTAGTAAAAAACTAAAATGGAGATGAAACCAGACAAAGAAACCACCACCATTACCATGCATCCAATGTCTGCAATTGAAAGGCAAGATGAAAAAAAAAAAAAAAACTTGAAAGCGCAAATAAGTTTTCTTCGTTAATGAGGAGGAATTATCTAATGCGACATACAAATATAATGTATTGTTACTTTCTGAGCACCAAGTACGCTTAGAATTTCTCAGCTTCTAACTCCCCTTTTTAGGCCACCAAATAGAAATTTTTGTACAATGATTAAAACCTAAATATTAATTAAGTACACAACAAAATCAGAGGACGTACATGTCATCCTCATCCACAGATCAAACATGTGCCCATAGGAAAAACATCACCCGAGTTAGATTAAGCTGATTGGTTTCCAAATTAAATAAAAACAATCCAGCAATCATAGAAAAATACATATAAATAAACAAAAAAAAAAACACATAGAAAGAAATTAAGGTTAAGAAGAGAAACTCACGGAAGATAATTGAGTGAAAACTGTGGGATGTGAACTACGGATCTAAGAAATGGATTCGGAAACAAGAGAAAAGACAAAAGAAAAAAAGAGTGAAAACGGAGAGAGAGGAAGAAATGATAAGACCCGACAAATGCAAATCATTGAAGATGTTTTTGTTTTGTGGTGTCCGACTCTCTCTTCTTATCTCCCAGTCAACACAACACAACACAAGCGCCCAAACATCTTTTGTCTTTTTTTTCTCTCTCTCTCTTCTTTTCCCTGTATCACTTTTTTCTCTTTTGACTGTTGGATAAAAATTACTGTTATCTTTTCTTTATTGAAAAACCATCCTGTTTTTTTTTTTTTGGTAAACGAAAAACCATCATGTTTTAATTTAACCGAAACGATAAACATTATTGTGGATAAAGTGTAATTTGTGTCCGCCATTTTCTCCCCTTCTTAACAATGAGAACAATAAACAGATAAGAAAAAAAGATAATAATAAAAAGAACAGAGTTTAATTTGACAACAAAGTCAAGCTGACTCGGTAAGCAGTGGTGCAAGTAACTTCTCGAAAGATAAACTTTGACGCTATTATTATATACAGAGACATTTTCAATTTATGACTATGAATACCCAAAACTTTACGGTTAAAAGAAATATCATGTGCAAATCATTATTCTATGTGCGTTGAGTCGAAGACCCAGATATGAATGTTTAACCCTGATTTTCTCAACATTTTTTATCGAACATTGAAAAAACGTGTCAAGTTTGGAGCCACTTTTTCTTCATCAAATATCGTACAATTGTCTTGCATATTACCAAAAATAAATTATAAAAGATAGCTACCAGCCTACCAACCATAAATAAGGAGAGAAAGAAATGTCAACCTATTCTTTCTTTTTCTTTTTTTTTTGAGTTACCCAGCTCTAATTATTTCTTTGAGACGAGTTGGTTCCCTCCGATATCCTCACGAGCTTCGACTCTTTGAGTCGGCTATGGGACTAATCTGGAGTGCGGGGGAACACTGATGACTAAAGGTTCAGCCCCAATGTCAACCTATTCTCATTTATGTTCAGATTAACATCACATTTTTTATGTTATGACCTTTAATTATAATGTTGACCTATTTAATAATTGCAAATTTTATCATTTACTCACTAAAATAAATAAATAAAAAAATAAAAAATATTTTTTCTGCTATCTCCCCACCTCGGTCTCACTTTAGAAAACTTCCATTTTGCACGCGGGCTCAAATTGTCTAAAGACGGATCACATTCAAAGTTTTCTTATCGATTTGATGCTGGTCATTGTTCAAGGCTCCAATCGATTGGACGTCTTACTTGTTTGATCTATTGCTTTTTCTCTTTGCTTTGCGTCTTTTATTCTTTGACTCAACAATATGCTAGGTTTCGGCAAGAAGAAAATAAAATTTTCTAAAAACAAATTTTTGATTTTCAGAAGAAAAAAAAAATTCATTTAATACGGCCTGTTTTGTAAAAAAGAAAAAAAATTAAATTTAGAGAATATATTTGGATTATTTTTGTTTTGTATTTTAATTTTTAATTTTCACAATAAAAAAATACAAAAAATATCTATTTTAATAACTAATTTACAAAATAATTCTAAGAAAAAAATCATAACACAATCTTATGGATTTCAAGCTATATTATTGCCAGTTATTATCTTACTTTACAGATCATTACATTATAATTTGCCTCGATAAATGTTCGGTTGGTTATGGAATTTCATTTTTTTTTTTTTAAATATGAGTTTTAGTGACTAGTGAGTAGTGACCAAGTACTATGTCCCATGTCTTTTCCAATTTAGGGGACAAGGCTGATTATCAAATCAATCATTAGGTGACACATGGCATTATCCCTACCCCGAGGATTTGGATAAGCATACTTGAACAGTGAATAGTGAATTTACTTATTTATCATCTCTTGAATGGAGGTGGCAAACTTATTTCTTACCCTGTATTGATCCTTAAATCTCCTGCGACTTTGCTAAATATATTGAAAACTTGGGCACTTGCCCTACCTGCTGACACGGATGTTTGCATTGGCATGTAATATATACTTGCTCACTTAAAATATTTGTTTTAATCAAACTGATTTAATTCAGTTTGAGAATTCTAGATTTCAATAGCAATGAATCTTTTAATATTATTTTTTCCATTCCCCGACCTTTAAATAAGGGAATAAGTATTGTTGATCGCTTAAGAATATTTTTAAGTACACTAAAGCTGTTAAATTACTTGACAGGTTTTCATTGTGAGGCAGAAGCCACGAACAATGTTGATTGTTGAATAATAGTACTGTCTGGACACTTAATTGTAGTTTGCTGTGTTGATGAGTGCTAGTTAGACGCTTTTATAGTTGTTGCTGCTGAGTTAAAGTAGTTTGTGGCTAGTTTAGGGATTTGTTACTGTTAATTGTTATTGTTATGTGTATTTCATAAACATAGATGTGTTAATCTCTTTTATTTGCTATTGGGCTCATTCAGTATTTGTTGCTTATGTTGCTGGCTAATTGAAAGGATAAGGCCCACTTTGCAACACAAGTAAAACGCTGTCGTTTTACCTTGTGATGGCAAGTGAGGCACTTAACCTCAGCTGAGCTCACAGTGACCATATGCGATTTTTCTGATTCGGCTACCATCCCAAAAAGGAACTCTCTCGAACATACTGTCCGCTAGGGTTTGTGAGCGCATTCATTCTGAGAATAATGAGTGATACACTGAGATTTGATCTATGGTGATTTGGAGAAACTTGTTCATCTCAACAAGACGGTTCTATTGATCGGTGTACTTTTTTGATCGACAGTCGAAAGGTGGAAGCTCAACCTTGTGAGGAAGATCTGGGAAGCTGATGTTGACCAGCTTGGAGATCGTGTGAAAGGAACTACGATTCCTTTGCTGGCTCAAAGATTGGGAAGTCCTCTTTAACCATTTGGTTCTGATTCATAATCTTGATGTGGTTTCCTTTTTCAAGATTGTATTTCTTGTTGATCTGCTTTCGTGTTTAGTTTCTTCACATGCTTTGAAATTGTATACTGTAAACATTGGTTCTGAACTTGATTTGAATATAGAGTAAATCTCATAGGGCGTTTAACCCTCCTTAGGCCCCAGGACGTAGGAAACTCACTAACACTGAGTTTCTGAACCTGTAAAATACTGGTGTCTCCTTTCTTTATGCTTTCTTTATTCTTTCTTGGTATGTTTCTTGCGTTACTGTTTGTGAAACGAATTTCCCAAATTACAATAGTATCAAGTTGTATATTTTATTTAGGGGTTTAATGTTTGTCATTTTAAATGACATAAGTTATATCATTTTAGGAGAGAGATAGACATAATAAATGAAAATCATGAGGGAAAAAAGTAAGTGTTTTTTTTTTAAATTTAAATTTTAAATAAAAAATAATATTTTATACATATCTCTTTCTTAAAATGACATAATTTTATATCTTTTAAAATGACAAATAAATTTTTTTTATTTCGTGGTTGAATTAGAGATGAGTTTGTGAGTTATCACTTCAATAGGTAATTTTAAGGTTTATACCCTATTAATCTCCCTTTGAATGGTTTTTCAGTTCCTTCAATGGCATCCTAGATTATGTAGTTTGCTGCTGCTGCTTTTTCCTAAGGTTTCCTTCCATTTTGGGAGCTTTATTAACACGTTTATCGTTTGTGGGCTTCTTCAAATATATGTACTAGTTTGTTGGGCCTTGTCATTGTCAAATGAACAATAAAAAATGGCCCAATTGTTTTTCTCTCATATTAGGCCATAAACGGTAAAATAACAGTGTTTGGACTTGTATTGGAATAAGGTTCTCTACTTCAGATTTTGCATTTTGAGAAAAGTTTAGTTTAGTATAATAAATGGTATATTTTAGAGAAAAATAATATCGAGTTTATAATCGTTCGATAGAAAATTAAGTGGATGAATTTTAATAATTTCATAGTTCATAATACATGTATATACATTTTATCACAATTTTAACCATTAATTTTTCAATCAATAATTGGAAATTCTCACTTTTCTCTGTACATACCCTCCTTGCAATTTGCATTAAAAGAGTGCGTAGTGCACTAACAAAAGAAACAAACCAGTGCCTTTTCCTTTAATTGGTTCGGTTGGTGATTTCACAAAAATTAAAGGGAAAAAAAGAAGTTTGGTTCCGTCCGAGTCCAAGTGTCCAACAATGTTAATCAAACAAAACAGTGCCTCTTTCTATGATTGGTTTCGTTTGTTAATTTCATTATTTCACCAAAATTGACTGAACCCAATAACTAATGTAAATCGGTAAGTGCAAGTGAAGAGTATAACAGAGATTAATATGATTCACTTAGTTTACTAGATGACTGAAATTTTAGAACGTCAAAATTTTGAATAAAATAAATCATAATTTTACACTTTTTTTGAAGTTATTTTAAACTTATTTGATATATTGAAATTGTGAAAATAAAAAAAGAAGAAGAGTACGTGTACTTATTTTCTTTATGATATAAGAAAGTTTAAGGGAATGGATATTACCGCATTTTAATGGATTAAAGAAAACACTAAAATCATAGGATTAATTTGATAAAATTAAAAATTAAATAAACAATGAATGTGTTTTTAAAGAATAAAATATGATTTTCCACACCAAAAAAATATGATTTTACTCAGTGTTTAATTATGATAATCAAAATGTATATTTGGATTTACATAATTTTTAAGGAATTTTTTTTTTAAAAATTTTGTAGGGTAAAATTTTAAATTTATGTTAATTATAAAATAAATTAATTTAAACGCATATTAACTCCACCTCTTCTCATTGAAATGATTTTATGGAATGTGGTTTATGATGGAGGAAGCTTTTCAGTTAAAAATCAGAATTACGATCCACTTTTATTAAAATGAGAGGAGTGAGGTATATTTTTATACAAGCAAAAAATCCAGTCTGTAAATTATTTGTGTGTGAAATCATTACAAATTAAAATTGATTTGATTTGAGTTAAAAATTAATTCATATTGTTAAAATATCCTAAAAAATAAGATTAACTTATTTTACAAATCAAATTTCATACTTAGAGCACGTTAAAGATGAATTGAACTGAATTCGCATTCATGATTTGCCTTGTTATTCTTCCTTTTTTTTGGTAAGAATTATTCTTCCTTGAAATATGTTAAA